GCGGCTACTCCGCAAGGAACCCAGGCTAAAACTAATAAATTTTGTTTTCTTGCGTCACACTGGTTTTCCGAGTGCGACCATCTGTTTATTTGTAAAATGAATCTCTTGACTATATATTTGGGCAGGGTTCATAACAGAGAGTATCACGGCCAGCAACAAGCAGCGCATGCTCAACAAAGTCTTACTCGATTCATGTAGTCGCTTCAATGTTTTAAATTTCCCTCGTTCGCAGAAATGGAATAAGTACCAGAAAGGCTCTGGTAGCAGGGTGCTAGTCTTCTTGCAGGAATTTTGGAACCCAAGCTACAGCAGTGTAATGGTGCGGTCGCAAAAAAAATTGAAGCAACAACACAATTTTTTATGAAGAAAGTGACTTATTCACAATTATCCCCCACATCATGTGGAAACAATTTTTGTCGCGTCTCCACGTCCTGTACTTTGTGTCCTAGTGAGTCACAATTTACGTCTCAACGTCCCGTACTTCACGTCCCCAAGTTCCATACTCGACGCCCGTTTGGGACTCCAACATGGCCGCCATTTCATTGTTTTGGGGCACCAATATGGTCGCCGTGACGTCATGTGAAAACACTCTATTAAGGACCCTTACGAAATTAGAACGGCAATAGGTTTAGTTAGCTAAAGAACAACTCTGCACGTGCATCACGCTTTTTTGAAGATTTCTTTGCCGTCTCTGCACAACTACGACGTAAAATGAACAAATTTTAAGATTTTTTAAGGACGGGAAAGACAAGGCGATAAATTCTACCATCTCTGTCTGAACTCGGGTGCGGCCCCCTATCTTCAGTTCCAGCCTAAATTCCTTTCTTTTAAGTAACAGGGCGACTTGGGTTAATCGCGAAATGGTTTGAAAGGATGCGGAGTCTATTTTTCAGTGATATTTTCATGGAAGTCGCCAAGGTCTCTATTGACAGTTCCATTTCTAAGCACAGGATAATCAAATCTAAAACACAAACAGTGGTGAAAAACATAGGGAACTTTTGCACTTTTATATAAACTTAACGTTTCCCTCTAGTCAACGTACGGCAATTTTAAAAGTTATTAAAAGTGATCGTCACAGATTATAATGAAATTTTTTATACAAAATTGACAAGGTGTCTGGGAATGAGATTAAGAAAATTCTCAAAAATGAAATTGTAACTTTGTATAAATAGTTTCATCATAATCTGTAATTGTCTCTTTTGATCATTTTTGAAAACGTATGTTGACTAGCATAGGACTGAGAAACGTCAAGTTTACACATAAAAAATGTGAACGTTCAGAATGCTTATGATCACCGCTGCTTGTGTTTCACTTTTGATTAAGCTATGATGGACCAAGAACAAAAGTCTTCAGGCTTAGCATACTATTTTGAGTTAAAAAAAAGTGTCATTTTCAAGGAAACTCTTAATATGTTGTATGATTTTTTTTAGTTAAAGACGCGATGAAAACATTGTTGATTTTGGCTGTAATAATTCTGGGCGTGTTTTCGCGTAAGTATGATTAACCCTTCATTGTATTTTAGAGAATAATATAGAAGCATTTTACCCCAACCAATATACTTGACTGTACCCTTCTTAACAAACACTTCCGTTATTTCCGAGGAAGAAACAGCCAAGGCATTTTAACGGTTTTTTTCGCATTAAGCTTTAATTATTCTCTGTTAAAAATAAAGTAACCTCGTTAATGCGATCATAAACGTGGTCGTATCAAAACGAATTTTGTCTTACCTTTAGACCGAAAGAATATAGTCCTAATCACGAGGTATTCGTTTTATGGGTAATAGCAGAAGCTTGCCGCCGGGACACTAAAAACTGGAAAAAGGAAATATGATCACATTTCCACAACCTTTAGAGAACTTGTCTGGGTGGCTTGCAAAAAAAGACATATCCCTGCTTCGTGATGTATCCATGGTTTTCTTAAATTTTACATTGCCTTGCTGCAAGTTACTCTGAGCCCATGTTGGTTATGTGTTGGTCCTTAGCTTCAAAGCGAGCACCAAATATAGAACACAACCAAAAAAACGAATCATCTTACAAGAACGTCAGCAAAAGGTTTTCTGAGTATGCGGTATTATATATCAGCGGTACTGAACACCACCTCATAGTATCACAGGTTAAGCGCTTTAACACTGAAAATCCACAGTCACAATACAACAGAAAGGTGAACGATCACTTGAACACTGCATTCAGGAGAATCTAGGCAGCACAGAGATCATTTTTCTATCGATCAATAGCATCATGGAATAACGTTAAACGAAGACACCAAGAACAGTATGAACATTGATCTTTTCAAACGTCCTGCCAGTAGGGAATTTTAGGCATCTTTACTTTGACTTAATGTTTTTAAGATTATATTGATCGTTGCAGTACATCTTTATGATACTTAGTATTTATAGATATAATTATTAGAAATTTAGTATGGTACACAATTAGGTTTTTCTGCTTCTTGCAACTGATTTTAAATTTCCCCTAAATGGGACATGTTAATAAAGTTATTGCATTGGATTGTATAGGTTCATCTGGCCAGGACCTGAATTACCAATCGAAAAGATACACAGTCATTAACGAAGTCAAAGTTTCAAGTGGTAAGTGAATGGCCTGTTCCTTTAAACACTACAATAACGAGATGGCCGGCCTCTAAAATAATTTTTTCCGTCCTGTGGGCCTCAATTTGGCCAACCCAAATAAGATTGAGCCAAAAGCCATAATGGGTTCTTGATTGAGCTCCCCCGGGGGGCCCTCCTCGATCTAGCTTTCCACTAATGGTCTTTTAGCCTTTGTCTTTCTTTCTCGAAGTTAAATGTAAGTTACCTTCAATGAGACTTTTACATTTCTGTCATCTTTGCCAGTAATACTTTAAATATGGCTCATGTTGTTCCCTTTCAGATGTTGATATCGATCATGTACAAGGTAAGTGAAACAATAATTTGATGTCCCAAATTTATTCCATGTACGCGCTTACGATGTGCTTACAACTGAGCTTACGAAACAAATCGTTATTATCATTGCTTAGTATCAGTGGCAGTTGTAAGTTTGCTGCCGTGACGGTTGTCGAGTGGTATTCTGATCTGGAAAATAATTCACCAAGTCCATTTCATTGTCGTGTTTGATACTAGTTAGTTAGTTGTTAGTTCACGAAGGAAAATAACAAAAATTTCACTGTGAAGACCTGTGAAGAATTTCGAATTCGACTATCATGATCTCGCGGTCTCTTTAGTTGTCTCTTGTTCTAGGATATTCACGAACTAGGGGCCTTTTTTATCTTTTAAAATTAGCGGTTACGTTGAAACATTGAAAAGCAACAACAACACAACAACAGAAATAACAGGAAAACGTAAAATCATATTTTGCGTCCAAAAAACCACGTACATAGATCGAATTTATATTAACTTACAAGTTGACGTAAATAACGCTGTGTATAGTTCTTAAAGTGATAAGTGATTGCAACTTGTTGGATAAATCGTCCAGATATAAATCCGGTGTTCAGGGGAATGTTGGCCCCAGTCTTCTTCATTTGACTTCAAAATTCGTCTGAACACTGAATTTATATCTCTGTCTTACGGAGATAATTTGTTTCTAGTATAAATTCGGCCACTGTATGAGGTGCGTAAAAAGTTACAAGATTGTTCCAAATTCGTACAAACTAAGCACGGAAAAAGTCATGAGCGCGCAACAAAAATGAGGAGAAAACTGATCAGGTGCAAGCCAGCATGCCATGCACGTGGCGTCAAGCTCTTAAAATTCCGAGCTAGGTTAGCTTTACATGTTTTTGTGACCACGACCATGTGCTCATATACGATTTTATAATGACCCTCAGACTGGAGAAGAACACAAACACCAAATTCTGCGTTAAACTTAACAAATCGGGAACGGAGACTTTTGAAATGCTAGGCCTACGGATACGAACCAACCCGGTGAGGTGTTCCGAGTGGTACTCACACTTCTTGAGTAGAGGAACATCATTAGAGGATGACGAGAGTTCAGGGCGACCATCAACGACAATAACCACTGAAAATGTCTAAGAAATTGCTAGAATTTTGCGTCACCATCAAAGAAGTTGCTGATATTGTTAACGTGTCAAATGGATTAGTTCAGGCCCTCCACATAATCACGTCCACTTTGAGCATGCATTGCGTCTCTAACCAATTCTCGCCCAGGCTCTCATCGCCGAGCAGAGGCGGCACCGTGTTGAAATCTGCGTAGACTTTAACAGGCTCAAGGTGATCCAACCTTTATGTCCAGGATGATCACTGGCAGTCTACAGGCGGCTCTAACCTAGAAACATAACTCAGACCCTACCATCTCCAAGACCAAACTGGAGAAGGCAGGGCAGGTCAGGAGCTCGAACAAAACAACGCTCGTCACTTTTTGTGACTTCACGAGGTTGTAAACCGCAAAATCGACCCTTAAGGACGCACTATCTGATTGATGCCGAATTTTAGTTTCCCTTCTGTGGCGTCTGAGAGAGGACATTCGACGCCAACAACCTGAATTGTGGCGCGTGGGAATTGGATTCTTTAACGTAACAACGCCTCTGCTCACAGTGTGTTGAAAATGCGGGGTTTACTGTGCCACAAAAACACGATCGTTGCTCCACAACACTCCCCCCCCCCTCCCTCCCAACTATCCCTAGAAGTGACTCCCTGCGACTTCTTCCTCCTCCGCACGATAAAATTTTTGTTTTCTTTTTTCATTTAGGTAACTGTTCTGAGAAAATAGATATAGCTATCCTGGTTGACACTTCAAAAAGCATGACAAAAGAGCAAAGAAGTATACTAGCTAAATTGATTTACAGATTGATAGACAAATACCCAGTCTCTCCTAAAGGAAACCATTACGCTTTTATGACCTTCGACCGTTACGCAAGAATCCACAACAAGTTTAATAATCAGCACCGCTACAATCAAAAGGCCCTTAAAGGCTTGATCGAAGAGAAAATCCGTATTTCAAAACGACTAAAATGGGGAACTCGTTCAGATCTTGCTTTATACCGGGCAGCAA